ATTAAATGTTTAAATTATTTTAATTGCAATCGATTGGTTTTCTCCATATCCCAAGCAGTCGATTGCATTATTGCGAGCGATCAATACATACCCTACACAAGTCCCCTAACCTTAAGTGTGGGCGAAGATCAGAAGTGAAAAAGGTTTGTTGTCTCTTGATTGATCCCTTGAAAATATGATCGTTGGCAATGAGTGGACGTGCTAACTCATGAATCATGCTAATGCCTCGTGAATTGCACATTCAACATTGACATTTAATCTGTAACATCAGGTTCACTCAGCCGTTGAATGGTGCTGGATCTAACGATCATGGTGGCACAACGTGTCACTTGGATTTTCTATAAATAAGGATCAGGCGGTCCCATCATTTTCACCTTTTATATTCACATAACTCTTCTTGGACTACATAGTTTCTAATTTCTTTTTGTTGTTCAAAGAGATAATGACTGCTACTAGAATTTCCTCATCGGAAGGATCCTCTGGTTGGGAAGACAAAAGTTACGCGAATGACACTTCTTCGTCGTCTTCATCGCTTGGGTCATCTTCAAGGGAGATTGAATAGAGTTTGCCAAACCAATAGTAGTATTGCACCTGTACATACTGCATTAAGGGTTGATCGGAGATGAGAACCAATATAAGGTTAGAGAGAAGTCCATGAAAAAGCGTAGTGAACACTGTCGGGAAAATCATGTCAACACAACAACTAAAGGGGACAAGCTGAACTTATCGAAAATAAATATTGCTAAATTACAACAACTTAAATATTGACAAGATAATAACCAATAAAATACAAATGGTAAAGTTAACCATAATTTGTCACCTAATAAACATAGAATTGATTTCTAACAAATTACTTTTTAAAATATTTATATGTTAAAAGGGTTAGTCAAATACAATAAAAATAAGAAGATAAAAATAAACAAAATTAATAAGATATTAGATAACAAAATAATAAATGAAAGAAAGAATTAAAATTGGAAAAATAATAAGGAAAATAAGTGTATTCCACTTATTTATCAAAATATGATTCTTCATTAATTATCTAAGTATTATCATTCAATTAATTAAGGAGTCTTTATGATCTTCACGTGATTTTAATCATCGCAACTAACCTTTTTTTCTATGCTCTAAACAATTGGAGTCGATTTGTACCAATCGGTACATACTATACAAAATTATAAAAATTTATTTATTTTATAACTATTTTATCATTGAATGTTAAAATATTTTTTCATTTAAATTTTAGATTTGGAAGGTAAGACTTATCTACAACTAAAACAATTTACAAAGTGATCCCTCTATCACTCTCAAGTGCCACTCCTACTTTCCATTTCACACATCATCTTACATTCTTTCTTTTTCATTGCCAATAGTTATTCAATGTTTCATTATTCAATGTTTTATTGTTTCAGGGTAAAATGGAATTTAAATCCTTTTCAATATGTTTGAAATTTTAGAATAATTATTTTATTAAGATGTATTTTTGTATATTTAATAGTAACACGTAACTTATAACTTAAAATCATTTTTTCTTTAAATTTTTAAAACATTTTTTGAAAATAAAATTATAAGGAAATTTTAAATTTTAAAACTAATAATACATCTTTTTACAATCGTAACAAAAAGTTTTCATTTTCATCTTAACTTTAAACTCAATTTTGATGATTGTGTTAGTTTATTATGTTAACTTATATATGTGACAAAATGTACACATATCATAATGAGAATCTACTAAGAGATAAACTTAATTTATAACTTGAGAATTAAAGTGGAAAATAATTCTTAGAGGGTTTTATTAATTCTCTGTAATCTTCTATTTATAAAAATAATTTAATAAAAAGTACATAATAAATAGAATAATTTAAACACAATATAATCATAATAAATAATTAAACTTAAATTGTATTTCCTTATATAATTTCAAAATTGTGAATTATCATCTATCATAACCAAATTTATTATTTGTTATTTTTATTGTTTTGCTTGTTATTAAACTAATAACTAATATTTAACTCCACGTATATCTCGGTTTAATGTCTCAATAGGTCCCTATTTTTGTTCAGAATTTGAAATAGGTCCCTTTATTTTTTGGCGTCTCAGTTAGATCCTTATTTTTGTTAATTTGATGCAAATAAATCCTTTCCGTCAATTTCATCAAACGGCGTTAATGAATGTGTGACGTAGCCTGAGGACAATTCTGAACAAAAATAGGGAACTATTGAGACATTAAACCCATATATCTCTCTCGGTAAGAAAAAATATATTAAAAATTTCATATTAACTAAAAATCAAATCAAATTACAGTATGTAAGTTGATATAAATTTTATTTTATAAACCAATTTTACAAGTTAAATAAACTTAAAATCTACTTTTCAATATATATGAAACTATTTAAAGTACTTTTATTTGATTGCATATAACAATAAGGTTTAACTATTGAATGTTTGGTTTGAAGAAAACTTTAAACCGGTTATCTTAGATAAGGAAGAAATACTAAACAAAAATAAAAATTAGGATTCATATATATTTTTATATTTTATTTTCATCTACTATATTTCTCTTACATGGAAGTCAGGGAATTCACGGGTGTGTATATATATATATATGCTTCTTTTAGTATAAATAAATAATAAATAGTAAATAAATGAATAATATATCGTTTTACAGGGTTTTCTAAGCGGGTGTGCAACTCAGAATAATGGTAAATAATTAAAATTAATCCACGTGCTATTAAATTTTTTTGAGTTGAAATATAAAATTCATGATTTCACACCTAATACAAAAAAGAAAAGCCCACGCGGGTGACGTAAAACAAAAGTATTTTTATCTGTGGGACATATGTAGTGTTTTGTTATAGCCATCTCATTAAAAACATAAATATTGTTTGAATGTTTGTTATGTCTTATGATAATTTCTTAGTAAAATAATTTTCTTTTATACTCAAATGTTGACCTTTTAAAACTATTAGATTGGATTATGGGTGAGCTAATTATTCATACAAATTGAAATTGCACTTAAGATTTGATATTCTTTTTCCTCTATTTATATGTTTTGGAAGTATATTTGACTCTGACATTAGTATTAGGGGATTTCTTACTTTACCGTATTAGTGAAATGATTGAGATATATTTATGTTGTCTTCCAAATTTGTATACGGATTGGTATAATTTAAAATGGAAATTTATATTATGGATTATTCAATCTGAAATATATTTTATATTTTGGATTGTTTTATAAGTTTACATTTTGAATTATATAATTTAGAATATTAATTTGTATTGTAAATTGTACAATATGTAACTATTTTGTATTTTAGATTATCTTTCAGTTTTATTTTATGAATTGTATAATTTTAAATGTAATTTACATTTAAATTATCATTGTAGATTATTTAATTTAAAATATAATTTACATTAAAGATTATATAATTGTAAATATAATCTACATTTCAAATTGTTTTGTAAATTTATATAACGGATATAAATGTAAATAATCCAAAATATCTACGGATTATAATTAAAAATATGAAAAAAATCATATACTATCCTTTTGTATTAATTTCCGCGGGAGTATAATTGAAATTTTAGAAAATATGAGGTGTAAGAAGAAAACATAGAATTGTCGGAAGAAACTCCCTAGTATTATCTTCCATTTGTGCTTTTCTCACCTGTTTAAACCACACATATGAAGCCCAATTCAAATCCACACACATAAATAATATTATTTTATTATAATTTAATCTAACGTAATACTATAATTTTTTTTTGAGAAATGATCTTCTTTTACCATTTCTGGATAAAATGAGTATAATTTGTTTAGGTTTCTACTATTTTCTTATAATGTTATAATTAATCGTTGTTTCAAAAGTGACCCTATTAACATTTATATATTGATTTGAGAATTACAAATTTATAAATATTATATGTGTAATTGGCAACTTAAATTTTCAACGAATATTTATTCTATCTTTTTTATATTCTCTTTCTTTTCTTGTTGTTTTTATTTTGGCATTGTGAATTTCATCGCATTTTCAGTTTTAAATGCACAAGTTAGGCTCGTATATTATGTAAGTATTAGTAAAATAAATTAGATATAAAATTATAATTTGTTTTTAGAGTTGCAGTAACATTGACTAAGATAATAGGATTTATGCCGATAAGAAAAATGATACAGCATTATTTTACCGAATAATACAATCAGTTGATTTTTCGAGTTTAACTAATCAAGATTTTTTTAAAAACATGGTTAACAAAAGTAAAAATTTTAACAATAAATTCATAAAATAAATGTGAAAGTGATTATTTCTATTTGTAATTTTAGATATTAAAAAATAATATTTTTAATTATTTTAAACATTACATATATTTGACATAAATTTTAATGCTTGCACATTTAGTGAATTCTGCCTTAAGACATGACCACTATTCTTTAACATGTGCTCTTATGATTATAGCAAAATCAGTAACAAAATTCTCATAACATGAATGCAAAAATCTGTGTAAGATTCGTAAGAAGAAAGTGAAGATTTCTTTTGTATACACTTAATACGCAAATCTAGTACGGGTGACTTCTCATCCTTCTCTAATGGTACAGAGTAGGCAGGATCTTCAAGCATATTTTTTCATCATACTTGGTTATATACACATGCAATTGTTTCTGATATGTATTTTTCTTCATACTTTATTACTGGAACTGGCATCAGGGTGAGCGTAAATGAAGAATAGTTCCTATGATCAGCAATGCTACTGTGAATATTAGTGCCTGCAAGATCACATTGCATTAAAAAAAAGAACAAACCAAGCAAACTACAATAATACTTTGAATATGCAACTAGGATGATGAGAATATATACACAGAAAAATGATATTGTAGTGGTCTATGTTGAGAATGAAAAAGGCAAGCTTGAGCACATAGAAATTAAACAAGAGAGAGAGAGAGAGAGAGAGAAAGAAGAGAAATGTTACAGCAATTGCAGAAGCTCCTAATCCTGCCCTTTCCCTAGGATCCTTTCTGTAATAGTTTCCAAAGTAAAGGATCGTGGCATAATACCACAGAGGTGGACACAGAAATCCCAAAAGAAATCTGAAATTAAACACAGAAAATCATAAGGCAAGAAGAAGAGAAAATTTGGGAAGAGAGTAGATGAGTTACTTACGAGAACCATCCAATTCCACAACCATAACATGGAAGGGGTCTGTCATAAAGTCCTGTTTGGAAGTCCTCAGGACCTCTGATTAAGGTATAGGTGCCCTTTTCAGGGTCTCCACCTTCCATTGCTTGACCTCTAAAAATTGAATAATTTCTGGCAGATGGCCTCAGAAGATCAAGATGCTTATCAGAGACTGATGTTGCCAATTCCACACCATTTCTCAAATCAACACTCTCTTCCATACCACAACCTGTTCTCAAACCAATTCACATCTCATGTAAATGCTTTGAGTTGCATTGTTCGTTGACAAGTTCCAAATGCATTATACAAGTACTGAATGCAGTTATGTTGTAATAGTGGGATACCAAGAACATGACCATGAACATGCCAAGTAAAGACAATCTGATATGCTTATCAATTGCTGATAGAGGAACAATTTTCTTAATAAATTAATAAGAAAAACTTTGACTTTTGAGTACCTTTATCCATTTGTTGTTGTTGTTGAGCTGGTTCAAAACAAATATTAAAATCCCTGTTTCACAGAATTTACTCAAGTGTCAGAAAAAATAATTATTTGTGAGACCAATATGTTTCGCTTTAGAGGTAGATAAAAGAGAAAAATACACAGCAATTGCAAGCATGATATGACAGTTTTGAAGACATTAAAGCTTAGAAAAATACCAATGTATGATTTATAGAACTCAAAATCTGAGGGAAGAAAGTCTTCCCATAGTTTCTTACAAGAAACAGTGTCACCAAAGTACCAAATTCTCCTTTACACTTAATTTTTCAGTTGTTCTCAGTTCTGAAAATAGGGGAATTCTAGTATTTTACCATGAACATTAGAATATTTGTTCATGACTCCCTCAGGGCAAGAGGTTTCGAACTGTAGGGTTTAATATTCATCAGTTTTGAAAACAAAACCATCTGAACCGGCAAAACTATTACTCATCTAAATCATATAGATTAAGGAACTAATCATCCATTGTACTGCAACAGTTATCAGAACAGAAACAACACATCCTTTGTATAACAACACATGTAGGAAAATGAAAAACAACAAAGTAATACAATAGTTACCAATTATGATGATGAGAAAAAAGGAAAAGGCTTTTATGCATCAGAAGGAATACCCTTCAAGAAAACAAAAACAAAAACAGGAGAAGATCATAGAAACACTTGCCTTGAAAGAGCAACAAGAAGTTGCAGTGATCAGAAGAGATAAAGGGACAGAAAGTTATTTGAAAAGGGATTCTGGTTTGTATTGAAGAGATGTTGTTGAAAGATGATAAGATTGGTGTTACCCCATTTCTCCCTTGTATCAAAATCGCATCCGAACATAACAAAAGTTGAAACAGCTCGAAGCTGAAGAGAATTGACAATGTCTTTGTGTTCCTAAATCATAAGAACCTTAGTTTAATGCAGCAATTTGAATAATAAATAAAAGTTGTGTGTTTCTTTGTGTGATATTTAAGTTGTCTTTATCACATAGTCAATTGTGCTACATGACAGTTTATTTACGCAGCCTCCTTGCCTTGCCTTGCTTTGCTTTCACATTCTTCTCACTAATTTCCTCCTAAATACCACTTTTTTCATACCATTTTTTAATATATATTTTCAGTATTGATTATTTTTTATAAACCATAAACTTGTGTGAATTTCATGATTTTGAATAAATTTAAGAAGATAGTGAAGAATATATATTTTAAAAATTGTTAGAAAATATCTCCATTTATGGTAAAAACCTTAATTTCTTGCAAATAAAAATCAATGGAGCCAAATTGTAGATGACTATTATTTAATCCTCTTGATTGACGCAGCTCTTGTATTATTCACAAAAGTGTCTTTTGATTGGTCAATGGTCNGATTGCATATAACAATAAGGTTTAACTATTGAATGTTTGGTTTGAAGAAAACTTTAAACCGGTTATCTTAGATAAGGAAGAAATACTAAACAAAAATAAAAATTAGGATTCATATATATTTTTATATTTTATTTTCATCTACTATATTTCTCTTACATGGAAGTCAGGGAATTCACGGGTGTGTGTGTGTATATATATATATATCCTTCTTTTAGTATAAATAAATAATAAATAGTAAATAAATGAATAATATATCGTTTTACAGGGTTTTCTAAGCGGGTGTGCAACTCAGAATAATGGTAAATAATTAAAATTAATCCACGTGCTATTAAATTTTTTTGAGTTGAAATATAAAATTCATGATTTCACACCTAATACAAAAAAGAAAAGCCCACGCGGGTGACGTAAAACAAAAGTATTTTTATCTGTGGGACATATGTAGTGTTTTGTTATAGCCATCTCATTAAAAACATAAATATTGTTTGAATGTTTGTTATGTCTTATGATAATTTCTTAGTAAAATAATTTTCTTTTATACTCAAATGTTGACCTTTTAAAACTATTAGATTGGATTATGGGTGAGCTAATTATTCATACAAATTAAAATTGCACTTAAGATTTGATATTAATTTTACTCTATTTATATGTTTTGGAAGTATATTTGACTCTGACATTAGTATTAGGGGATTTCTTACTTTACCGTATTAGTGAAATGATTGAGATATATTTATGTTGTCTTCCAAATTTGTATACGGATTGGTATAATTTAAAATGGAAATTTATATTATGGATTATTCAATCTGAAATATATTTTATATTTTGGATTGTTTTATAAGTTTACATTTTGAATTATATAATTTAGAATATTAATTTGTATTGTAAATTGTACAATATGTAACTATTTTGTATTTTAGATTATCTTTCAGTTTTATTTTATGAATTGTATAATTTTAAATGTAATTTACATTTAAATTATCATTGTAGATTATTTAATTTAAAATATAATTTACATTAAAGATTATATAATTATAAATATAATCTACATTTCAAATTGTTTTGTAAATTTATATAACGGATATAAATGTAAATAATCCAAAATATCTACGGATTATAATTAAAAATATGAAAAAAATCATATACTATCCTTTTGTATTAATTTCCGCGGGAGTATAATTGAAATTTTAGAAAATATGAGGTGTAAGAAGAAAACATAGAATTGTCGGAAGAAACTCCCTAGTATTATCTTCCATTTGTGCTTTTCTCACCTGTTTAAACCACACATATGAAGCCCAATTCAAATCCACACACATAAATAATATTATTTTATTATAATTTAATCTAACGTAATACTATAATTTTTTTTTGAGAAATGATCTTCTTTTACCATTTCTGGATAAAATGAGTATAATTTGTTTAGGTTTCTACTATTTTCTTATAATGTTATAATTAATCGTTGTTTCAAAAGTGACCCTATTAACATTTATATATTGATTTGAGAATTACAAATTTATAAATATTATATGTGTAATTGGCAACTTAAATTTTCAACGAATATTTATTCTATCTTTTTTATATTCTCTTTCTTTTCTTGTTGTTTTTATTTTGGCATTGTGAATTTCATCGCATTTTCAGTTTTAAATGCACAAGTTAGGCTCGTATATTATGTAAGTATTAGTAAAATAAATTAGATATAAAATTATAATTTGTTTTTAGAGTTGCAGTAACATTGACTAAGATAATAGGATTTATGCCGATAAAAAAAATGATACAGCATTATTTTACCGAATAATACAATCAGTTGATTTTTCGAGTTTAACTAATCAAGATTTTTTTAAAAACATGGTTAACAAAAGTAAAAATTTTAACAATAAATTCATAAAATAAATGTGAAAGTGATTATTTCTATTTGTAATTTTAGATATTAAAAAATAATATTTTTAATTATTTTAAACATTACATATATTTGACATAAATTTTAATGCTTGCACATTTAGTGAATTCTGCCTTAAGACATGACCACTATTCTTTAACATGTGCTCTTATGATTATAGCAAAATCAGTAACAAAATTCTCATAACATGAATGCAAAAATCTGTGTAAGATTCGTAAGAAGAAAGTGAAGATTTCTTTTGTATACACTTAATACGCAAATCTAGTACGGGTGACTTCTCATCCTTCTCTAATGGTACAGAGTAGGCAGGATCTTCAAGCATATTTTTTCATCATACTTGGTTATATACACATGCAATTGTTTCTGATATGTATTTTTCTTCATACTTTATTACTGGAACTGGCATCAGGGTGAGCGTAAATGAAGAATAGTTCCTATGATCAGCAATGCTACTGTGAATATTAGTGCCTGCAAGATCACATTGCATTAAAAAAAAGAACAAACCAAGCAAACTACAATAATACTTTGAATATGCAACTAGGATGATGAGAATATATACACAGAAAAATGATATTGTAGTGGTCTATGTTGAGAATGAAAAAGGCAATCTTGAGCACATAGAAATTAAACAAGAGAGAGAGAGAGAGAGAGAGAAAGAAGAGAAATGTTACAGCAATTGCAGAAGCTCCTAATCCTGCCCTTTCCCTAGGATCCTTTCTGTAATAGTTTCCAAAGTAAAGGATCGTGGCATAATACCACAGAGGTGGACACAGAAATCCCAAAAGAAATCTGAAATTAAACACAGAAAATCATAAGGCAAGAAGAAGAGAAAATTTGGGAAGAGAGTAGATGAGTTACTTACGAGAACCATCCAATTCCACAACCATAACATGGAAGGGGTCTGTCATAAAGTCCTGTTTGGAAGTCCTCAGGACCTCTGATTAAGGTATAGGTGCCCTTTTCAGGGTCTCCACCTTCCATTGCTTGACCTCTAAAAATTGAATAATTTCTGGCAGATGGCCTCAGAAGATCAAGATGCTTATCAGAGACTGATGTTGCCAATTCCACACCATTTCTCAAATCAACACTCTCTTCCATACCACAACCTGTTCTCAAACCAATTCACATCTCATGTAAATGCTTTGAGTTGCATTGTTCGTTGACAAGTTCCAAATGCATTATACAAGTACTGAATGCAGTTATGTTGTAATAGTGGGATACCAAGAACATGACCATGAACATGCCAAGTAAAGACAATCTGATATGCTTATCAATTGCTGATAGAGGAACAATTTTCTTAATAAATTAATAAGAAAAACTTTGACTTTTGAGTACCTTTATCCATTTGTTGTTGTTGTTGAGCTGGTTCAAAACAAATATTAAAATCCCTGTTTCACAGAATTTACTCAAGTGTCAGAAAAAATAATTATTTGTGAGACCAATATGTTTCGCTTTAGAGGTAGATAAAAGAGAAAAATACACAGCAATTGCAAGCATGATATGACAGTTTTGAAGACATTAAAGCTTAGAAAAATACCAATGTATGATTTATAGAACTCAAAATCTGAGGGAAGAAAGTCTTCCCATAGTTTCTTACAAGAAACAGTGTCACCAAAGTACCAAATTCTCCTTTACACTTAATTTTTCAGTTGTTCTCAGTTCTGAAAATAGGGGAATTCTAGTATTTTACCATGAACATTAGAATATTTGTTCATGACTCCCTCAGGGCAAGAGGTTTCGAACTGTAGGGTTTAATATTCATCAGTTTTGAAAACAAAACCATCTGAACCGGCAAAACTATTACTCATCTAAATCATATAGATTAAGGAACTAATCATCCATTGTACTGCAACAGTTATCAGAACAGAAACAACACATCCTTTGTATAACAACACATGTAGGAAAATGAAAAACAACAAAGTAATACAATAGTTACCAATTATGATGATGAGAAAAAAGGAAAAGGCTTTTATGCATCAGAAGGAATACCCTTCAAGAAAACAAAAACAAAAACAGGAGAAGATCATAGAAACACTTGCCTTGAAAGAGCAACAAGAAGTTGCAGTGATCAGAAGAGATAAAGGGACAGAAAGTTATTTGAAAAGGGATTCTGGTTTGTATTGAAGAGATGTTGTTGAAAGATGATAAGATTGGTGTTACCCCATTTCTCCCTTGTATCAAAATCGCATCCGAACATAACAAAAGTTGAAACAGCTCGAAGCTGAAGAGAATTGACAATGTCTTTGTGTTCCTAAATCATAAGAACCTTAGTTTAATGCAGCAATTTGAATAATAAATAAAAGTTGTGTGTTTCTTTGTGTGATATTTAAGTTGTCTTTATCACATAGTCAATTGTGCTACATGACAGTTTATTTACGCAGCCTCCTTGCCTTGCCTTGCTTTGCTTTCACATTCTTCTCACTAATTTCCTCCTAAATACCACTTTTTTCATACCATTTTTTAATATATATTTTCAGTATTGATTATTTTTTATAAACCATAAACTTGTGTGAATTTCATGATTTTGAATAAATTTAAGAAGATAGTGAAGAATATATATTTTAAAAATTGTTAGAAAATATCTCCATTTATGGTAAAAACCTTAATTTCTTGCAAATAAAAATCAATGGAGCCAAATTGTAGATGACTATTATTTAATCCTCTTGATTGACGCAGCTCTTGTATTATTCACAAAAGTGTCTTTTGATTGGTCAATGGTCAGCTCTGGGCAGTGCTAGGTGGTGGAATATATATATATTTACAATAGATTGGTACGGAATTTTATATGAATAGTTAATAACAATAAACATTTGAATAATGGTTTTGAGCAAAAATATGTGACTAAGTGATCGTCTTTGCATTTGTGTTTGGTGAAAAGACATTTTAGAATTCTCAAAAGTCAAGGATTTGTTTTGAAATTGAATTATAAATATTTTTTTTATGTGAGTATATTCGTTTTTATTGTGACAAAAAGATATTGGAATTGATGGAGTAGGTTAGAAATATGATTCACATATAATTTTCTAATAATACTATATATATATATATATATATATATATATATATATATATATATTCATTTGTTATATTTATTTTTATGTGTGTGTGGTTTCTATATTTATTTTTATTTTACACTATTAGAATATGGTTATTTCATTTGTTATTATAAATCTTTTTATTGTTGCCTGATTTTAAAGAGAAAAACTATATTTTCTTTTGTTATTGGTTTATGTATTCCTTTGTTTTGTTAAGGAAAATAAAACACAAATTTCATATTTTCCTCGAATACTAGGAACGAAATGAATGTTCAATACAGATTACAAATATGTCAAATTTGCACACAAATTTTCAGTACAAATTGGCAAATCATTTTGTTATATATGTTTATAAATGTTGTTTTTTTGGTTTTATAAAATAACTTGTTGTTTATAATAGCTAAAATCTAGTAGAGATTTTTTTAAATAAATTACTTTTATGGATTTAAAAATTTATAGTTTATAATTATTTCATAATAGCTTTTTTTAACTTCATACATGCTTTCTTTAATGACATAACCACTAATTAGAATGGTTCAAGATTAGTATCAAACATAGAATTACTTTCATTTTGAATGCATCAGTAGAAGTATTTAATACAAGAAAAATACATAAACTACTTGGCCACATGTTAGAAAATAATAGTTTACATTTGAAGTTAATTTTATTTTTAATTGTTTAAAGTTTTTTTATGAGTACTTTATTGTGAATAGATAATATAGTTAATGTATTTTTTTAACTCACTTTTTCAAGTTTTTTAATTTATTGATCAACTCACTATTTTAAAAAAAATCTCAATAAATTAAGAAATATCATACCAATGAACTTTGTCAACTACAAAAAAAAAAGTCCGTAAAATAAATTTTACCAACAAATTTTACTTATAAAATTTAAAATTTTAATTCATAAGTAAAATTGATGGTAAAATCCATTGTTAATGCAAGTATTTTATTATTGATGAATATTTCTGTTAATAAAATTCATCAATAAAATGACATTAAAGTTCCTGCTTCAACTTTGATCATGTCGTAGTAAATTTTGTCAGTAAGTCTATCAGTAATGAAATTTTTATTAATTATTCAACAATTGAACTTTAAAAAAAATTGATACAGTTATTAATTGAATTTTTAAAAATCTATCAATAGTTAAGTTTTTTCTTAAATTTTATCACTAATTTTATCGATAAATTCATTAATAAAATGAGTGTCCAATTTCTTGCCAAAAATAGTAAAGAATGTATTAAAAATTAATTCGAAATGAGTGAAAATAAGAAAAGAAAAATAAAAGAGAGGAAAAAGAAAAAGAGAAAAGACAACGACGAGGAGGAAGAAAACGAATAATAAAAAAGAAGAAGGAGGAGGAGAAGGTTGTTGATGATGACACGAACAATGAAAAGAAAGAGGAAAAAGAATAAATGAGAAAAAAACAAATCATAATATTTATCAACCAAGTTTACTTACAACAAATTTCGTCGATAATTAAAAATAAATATTTATTGACAGATTTATACTGTCAATAATTATTGACAAATAATTACTAACAAATTTTTTATTTTCGATAATTATTAATAAATTTTCTAATTCATTAATAAAATTGATCAACGAACGATAATTATCAATGATAAACTCTTAGTAATTTTACTTTATTTGTATTTATACAATAAATATAGTTTTTATAGTAAAAAGAATAAATATAACTATACTTTTGAGTAAAAAATGAAATAAGACATTTGGATAAAAACAAAAATATTTTAATAATTAAATAAAATAATTTGTTTTAATTAAAATAATATTATTTATACTACTAATGTGGTTAGTAAGAAAAATGTTAAAGAAAGCAGAATTTGAACGTTGATTTTAAAGTGTCTAAAAGGTAGGGGAGACTCTTATTTGCATCAGCCAAGTGTGTTGTTATTGAAGAAAGAAATTGAAAGGTTTTAATTATGCAGAGAACAAGTGGGTTTTCCATTGACATCATAATAATGTATGAAAGCATACAAACATTGACTTTTTCATATATTTTTAAACCTTCTAAAAGACTCCATGCCATATGGCCTGCTTTGCTTTCAAAACTCAAGTTATAAATAAATAGGAACATCAAATATAGGTTTAAATACGCTTTTGCACTATTTTTTATTAAAATATTTTTAATTAGTCCTTGTATTTTTTTAATTAAAATATTTCAAATTGGTTGTCGTAGTTTTTTTTCCTAATTAAATTATAATTTTTAAAAACATGATGTAATTTAGTTATTTTCGTTAAAATTGTATCAATTAAAAATATGTCATGTATCTTTTTGTTTTTTAAAAATAAAATAAAAACAAAAAAAATAGAAACTGATACGCAACATATAATATAGTACTAATGAATATATATATATATATATATATATATATATATATATATTATTTTTTTCATGATATAACAATTAATACGGGTATTTGATTTTATTTAGAATGGTGATGGAGATAATTCCAAAATTGAGTATGTGGATTAGTCTATTGAATTAATATGTGATTTTTTTATAACTCATAACATTTAGCTAACACTATTGTAGAAGAGATAAAAAACACAATAAGGAGGGTTCTTTTACTAAAATATTTTTCATAACATTGTAATGTATTATATGTGGCTGTGTAATGTATATTAACTATTAATTAGACAACATATGTTTAAAGAAGCCAACAATGGTTATGAAAATTTATATGTTTACAAACACAAAAACATGGATCAATTGTAGGGATAAACAAATATGGAAAGAGGAAATTACACAGCCATTTATATATTGGTTTATCTCCTTCGTTAAAATATTACATTTAATATTTAACTGATAAACCAAATTTTATTAATATTTGAATAAGTATTATGCCTGAAGATATTGTATATTCTGATCCTTTTGTAAAGTTTTTCCTCCATTTAAGAAACTTGTAAAAATTCCAATATAATATAACCAATCATTTTACACATATTTCTTCTATCACTTCTAACTTACGCAACTACAAAAGTTACTTTTGTCCATTCATATATTTCTCTTTTTGACATAAAAACATAAGTTTTCTTTCAAATTAAGTCAATTATAACTTTTTAAAAGTATTGTTCAAATTTTCAGTCCTAACTATACACAAAGACATCTTGTTTGAAGTACGAGAAGTTTCTCAATGAGAAAATATATAAATGAAGTTCTCATTTATAAGAAAAGTTCACAACGGTGAAAGATTTACATATAAGTTTATTTTTTTTTTCTTTTTCTGAATTAGTCTATTAATATATAACACTTTTTGCACAAATTCACATTTAAGGATCACATCTCGATTCTGTATAAAAAAATCTCTGTTGTTAATTTTTTTTTCACTTTGCATTAAATGATACATATATTTCTAGACCTTGGAAAGTGATTTTTTTTACCACGTCAAAATTCTATGTTATTGTGTCAAAATATGTTAATAGATTTTATGTTTGACATTCTTAACCTTACTATTTAGAATTATTTTCAATTTAATAGATTCAAGAAGAAACCAAATCACTTTAAACTTTAATTTTTATACGAATTAAAAAAGATGACATAGTTGAAGATTTTATATGTTATATATAATTCTTCAATTTTGCAATATTGAATTACTTCAATTTCTTACTCAAGAATTATTTGCCCCCTAAGCATACATATGATATCATTAAAAGTAAGTTTGAAAATAAAATTTTAAATAGTTTTATTCAAAGGGTGAAATTATTTTTGTTGAAAGAAAATATAAAAAATTTGTAGAAGAATTGTTTTTCAGAAAGTTTTCTTTCACACAAAGAAAGTAAACATTCATACTTGACTATCTCATATTTCATGCCGTATTTTATAGTAAACTTTTTAATGAAAACCAAGATTGTATGAAAACAATACTTTAATAAATAGAAAAGAGTTACGTGAGTTGAAGTTAATCCACTCTACCAAATTAGAGAGCCTTGTGGTGTGACACGTTTGAGAACAGAGCATAGCAGAACAGAGCAGAAGACAGAGCAGAACACTCTTGGTTCTTCTTTTGTCTCTCTCGAAAACAACCTATGATTCTCTCCGCCCCTCTTTAATTCAGTGCCTGTTTACTTTTTTCTTGTTCCTTTTTTATTTCTTTTTTATGCAAATATGGGGGAAGAGGTGCGTGTAACCAATTTGCATAATAGAGACGGTGGAAACGAAGATCAGAACCAGGAATTCGACATTTATCCTTTGAGTTGTTACTATTTTGGATCCAAAGATACCATTCCCTTCAAAGACCACACTCTACATCATCACCTTCTCAGGATCCAATCCAAGTTCTTTTCTTTCTCCCTTATCCTCTGTTTACTTCTTATTTCAATGTCGTTCTTATCTTCTCTTATATTTTTTTTAATCTTTTTTTTTTGTTAGCTATGCTGCCAGTGGGTTACGAACTTCTGTGGAGGCTGTCTTACTGGTTCGTTGCTTCTTTCTTTTATCAAATTTCTCTTTATAATTTTGATTCTGTTAAAAGATCAATTTTTTAGGAATATTAAGCAACTGGTCGTGTATTTTGCAATATTTTGGAGTGTCTTTCTGAATATTCTTACCTTGTCACGTGAGGTCTATATTCTGTTCCAAACTTCCTTTAGCAAGTCAAGTTTGAAACTTTTTATTGAAAGACTGAGATTGGGGAAGGCCTGATTCACTTAATTTTCATTCTGGTTTATGGGTCTGTTTCTGTGAATGTTATGAAGGTCTACTTAAGACTTTTGGGAGAAAAGAAGAAAATATAGATGTTCTCATATCAGCTTTTTCATATTCATTTTTTTTTTAAATTATACATAAACTATTAGAAGTGCTTTATTTTTTCATTTATTTACCCAAAGAGATCCTGTTTGATAATCTTCATCTTAGATATTGGGCATTTGATTTCAACAAATTATACATATGGGTCAGAGTTATCCAATATGATTCTGAACTGAGTACATGAATGTTGTTGTATCAGGTTGAATTGTTCAAACATCCACACTTGTTGCTTTTGCAAGTAAGAAATTCCATCTATAAACTTCCCGGTGGTAGATTAAGGCCAGGCGAATCAGGTAATAGAGGAAATGAAAAGCTTTGAGGATTTTTTTTGTGATTTTTTTTACTGAAGATGAAATTTGTGAATTTGTAGATACTGATGGATTGAAGCGTAAGCTGACAAGGAAGCTTTCTGTTGACGAAGATGGAGATGGTTCAGAATGGGAGGTATTGTATTACACTTGTGCTTGTGCATTTTCACTTGTCATTACAAGCTCACATCATATAGAGCAGCTGAACCGTAATTTGGTTGGTTCAGGTTGGTGAATGCCTTGGAATGTGGTGGAGACCTGATTTTGAAACATTATTGTATCCTTTCTTGCCACCAAATGTAAAACAGCCAAAGGTACATATTTTCATTGGTTTGTTTATACAAGTTCCGATAAGGGATGTCCTAGTTTCATAGTCTTGGTTGCTGGTGTAGGAGTGTACAAAAGTTTTCCTTGTGAAGTTGCCTGCCAGTAGGAAGTTCATTGTACCCAAGAACATGAGGTTGCTTGCAGTTCCATTGTGCCAAGTTCATGAAAATCAAAAGGTACAGACTAAGAAAATGTAGGACATAATGTGAAGACAGTTTTTGCTCCTCAGACTTGGTTAATTTATGGGGTTTAACTTCTTTACCTGTTCATTTTGCAGACATATGGGCAAATAATATCAGGGGTTCCACAGCTTCTGTCGAAATTCTCTTTCAACATGTTGGAATCTTGATATTTGAACCATTTGGCAGGCAGTCACAGCCTCTCTGCTAATGAGGCTTCTCTCCTTAGCATCTGCTCCTCATTTAATGGTGGACACAGACTTTGTATATATTATAACTTTCTATACCAAAAATCAGACTCTATTGTTCAAAATAGATACATACATCATGTCTGTATTCTTAGTGTGACATTTTGTTCAGGGTTATGGAGTTGTTATAGGATATTTCGTTCTCACCTTTCTTTTTACCTTACATATCATTATATTCACATCATAACTCAGACTATGATATTATATATGTTTGGGGTGTTGGGGGTTACCAACTTCAATCTAAATTTACTATTTTGGGGTTTGGGGTATATATATATATACATAATTCAGACTATGATATTATATATGTTTGGGGTGTTGGGGGTTACCAACTTTGGGGTTTGGGGTTTGGGAACTTCATTTCAATTTTATTATTTTTATTTTTCTTATAGGTTTCCTTATCCTGTGAAAAATCACAGCATAAATGATAATATAAATGATAATATAACGAGGTTTTAGTGACATGTAAAAGCTGGTGGAAAATCCAAAATCTAAAAGGAGAACGATAATATGTAGATAATGTTTTTTTTTCCTTGTTTTTGGTTGTGATGGGTTGACTTAAAGTGATTTTTTTTTTAAATTATGAGTTGATGAGATAGAGTTATATTAAAATTGGGTTCTCTAATGGTTTTCATCCATTTTTAGAGTTTGAATTGGAATACAACAAAAAAATAGAAAAAAAAAACAAAAAATAACAAATTAGTTCATTGAAAAATGTAAAATTTTTTAGGAAAGAAAATGTTTTTCTAAAGTTCTTATTTGGAAGATTATGATTTTGAGTACGATTTTAAGTATTATTGTAAAAAATGAAATTTAAAGTGTTATTTGAATATGATAAGATAGTTGAAACAAAAAAAATAAAATTTGTGAGAAAAAATATTGTGATCAAAGTTTTTTCTATTAAATATTTTTAAAATTGTTTATGAATAACTTATATGATATCTGACTAGAATATACGAATTTTATTTTATGTTATGACATTATTATAATTATTATTAATTAATATGCATGATAAATTTTTTTTTTTTATATATATATGTAAATCTAATATTAGTATAATTAGAATTAATTAATATGCATGATAAAATGGAAATATGCTTTAAAACTTCTGAGTGCATGTTTTTAGGCTATGCTAAACATAGTGTTGGTTATAAATTTCTTGTTCTTAAAAGTAATGTGATTAAGCATAATACTATTTTTGAAGATGAAAAATGCAGAGTTTTTTAAACATGTGTTTTCTCTTAAAAGTTAGTGAGACATATGAACCTATTGATAATAATAGTGATTCCATGTGTGAACGTTTAAGAAGAAGTAAAAGATAGTGGAAGGAAACTTCTTTTGGAGATGATTTTATACGTATCTCGTTGATAACGATCCAGCTAGCTTTGTAGAAGCTATTAGTGCTCCTGATACAAAATAGTAGGATAAGGTCATTAAGATTGAAATTGAATCAATTAAGAAAAATAATACTTGGACCTCAGTGGATTTGACTAAATGAACAAAATCCATTAGTTATAAGAGGATCTTTAAGAAAAAAATATGATTTTAGAAACATTGAGGTGAACGAGACTTAAGTCACTTGAAAACAAACAAGTGAAGGTAATTCAACTTTTTTTATTGAAGATCTCATGAATAAGGTTTATATGGGTAAAAACAAGTCACTTGTTAGTTTTGATAGCACTAAATTGATTTTGATCAATTATGTCCTATGGTGTGTATGAAAGTGCTAGAGACTACAGTATAAGAGGTTAAACTTTGTAATTAAAATTCTATGTGGTGTAAGAATTTTAGTTAAAACAAAGTTTTTAATGATTTTCATATCCTTTATGGGGGTGTATGGTTTGCAACATACACTTGATGATATCATCTATATGAGTGTTAAGTGAGATCGCTTGTATGAGATCTTGACATGATCTAGAGAGCACTCGTGAATATTGGGCACATACATGACCTAATAAGTGCAACACAACGATAATATAAGGAATATGAGGGTGTATTGTGATTGATAAACCACTAACACACGTCAAATGTCCTTGGTTTATATAGCTTGATATACCAATTACATTGTGTGTTAAGTTTCTCGATCTAGAATTGGTTCATATAACTTGTTATACCAACTTTGATGCACTACATCTTTTGAGACCCAAGTTTTTTCTTCTTCTTTCAATCTTTCTTTCTTATATTTTGCAATATGTGGGGGATTGTTATAAAACCTGTGTTTTATATGTATTGCAAAAGTTTCTTGCCTCTCTTCTTGGTCGAGCTCGTGTTGGTTGAGCTTGTGTGACTAAGCTCGTGTGGTCGACCTCATGTGTGGCTGAGCTTGTGTGTGTTTGTTGGTAGCATCAACAAACTTATTAGTCAAGCCTTCTCCTGCAAGACTCAAAAAGTTGCATGTGGTAATTCCAAAACACAAAACACACCTTCTCAAGCTTTCCCTTTATGTCTCTTTGCTTCCTTCATTCTTTTCTCGTACTTATAATATCCTAGGTTTTATTTACTCTTGAAAGAGATTACTTGTTAATTTTGATATCTTTGATTTTTCGGAAAGTTCTTGTTATATCTTAGGGAACTTGTGCAACACATTTGAGTAATGACAGTGGATTTATACGTCTCGGGAAATTTTTGTTTTGATTTTGTCAGCATTTTACAACATATTTGATGTAGCTAGAACATCTTAAATGGAAGAAGACACTCATCAAATTTAAAACCCACAAAAATAGTGAATGTAAATAAAGAAAAACAAATGATTTTAAGTGTAAACGATAAGTAAATGTGATAAATTTTCTACATGGATAACTTCTAAGGAAGTTTATCTAACACTTAGTATTTGGTTATCATTTGAGGTTATTATGGATTTCAAAAAGTTGTTTTATTTTAAGAAGTTATTTCCAATGAAAAAGAAAAAAAGTTAAATGTGTTTTTAATTTCTAAATTTAAACACGAAATTTGAATTTGTTGTTGTCTCAAACTTTAATACATTTTGGTTCATAAACATGGATATAGTCATTTTAACCTGATAAGGTCAATATTTTTGTATTTATTAATTGGTGTTTTAGATTGACTTTATCGCTAGAACATGTCAAAATGGTGTAAATAACTCAAACAACATCCTCAAACACATTTGACACATCAAAAAAACTTTTATGCAATTGGGTTATAAGGACTACATTTATTCATTTTTAAAGTTCTAGAATCAAATTATATCAAAGTTTGGGACAAAGACGAATTCCAATTTTGTGTCAAAGTTCAAGGATTAAAAATATATTTAACCTAAAGAAAAACATATGTTTGTCACCATTAAGGACAATAATAAGTAAAGTCTTATATTTGTTCTTGTCATTGGTACTTAATAGGTACAAAACTTTTTGTTGGATTAAGCACAACCAAACCACCATACTTTGATTGTAATTGATTTTCATGACTTTATCATAAGGAAATTAATGTCACCTACAATATTTTTCTTCTCAACAATTGTCTTTTTAAGAATGAAGCTCTCTTATTTTGACTTAATCCACCTAATATGTCATGGGATAATTGTCAGAATATGCAATAGTGTTATCGTTAAAAATTGTCTCAACTTGTGACTTTGACTATGATATCAATTGTTGGATAACAAGTAGATAAAAAAGTTGTGAGTAATAGTTAAACCACAATTATTTTTAGTTATGTGCATAACAACCAAAATATTATGATTTGATTATGACTTGTCTAATCTTCGTCACGAAAAAATTAATGTAACTTATAACACTTTTTCTCTCATCCACGTCCTTATTAAGTAATGATATATTTGTATCTACATTTATATTTGATCAAATATTTATTAAATAATTCATAAAAAAATAAAATCAAAGCAAGCAAATATTATATTTTCAAGAATTCAATTTCAAAAGATCACGCACTTTCTTCTCTTTAATGCCAAATACATTTAAAAACTATAATTGTATATAGATTTCATAATAGAATACATATAATACTTAATAAATTAAGAGTCTCTTGATAATTTAAAATGAGAATGATACGTGTATACTCATTATGTTCTTATACATGATTTGAAAAGTTAGATATTACCCGTATTCTTATTTATATTTGGTTAATCATTCTCTACCAACATGAAAATAAGTTTTAACAATAAATGTGAGATTGATTTTATTTTCCATCACTTGTCTCCATCTTAAAAAAAGAACATTGACAATCACTAAAAATATTCCTTTAAAATTCTTATATAAAGAAGTATATAAAGAAAAGACGAAATGCATACCATCCCACAGAATCCCTCGACATAAAAATAAGATTATATAACTCCTTAACATAAAAACATTATATAACTAATATTTAGGTATTTATTTTGTATTTTACAAAAGTCGTATTTCATTAATATTTGAGAATTTAAATTACATTATGAAAGAGTTATTACAAGACGAAAATAGATGAAGATATTATGAAGGAAATTGCAAGGACAAAAGCAAGGTACAGTTGTGGGACCAATTTTTGGAGAGAGTTGGAAAAGATTAGGTTTGATTTGGCATTTATTTGTTTGATTTAGGAACATTGATGGCTGCCCTAACGCAAGGTCGGTCTTCCTTTCAAGATCAAAGGAAATGGATCAGAAGAGACCATAAAGAAAGTCAGTCTTCCATTTCCTTCATTTTTTCCAACCACGTGCTTTTTCTAAGCTTCCTTCAAATACACTCTATTTCATTTTATCTCACAATGTTTACAAAATGCTTTACATTCAAAGGATAACTTTCTTTTATATCAAAATCATATTATACATGTTTTTATTTAGATTTAATTAATTTTATGTTCATGCTTAATTTAGGTATTTTTAACTAATATTTTATTAAATTTTTGTGGATGATGAAACGAGATCATCTGCCTGTTAAATCGAAAAATAAAATAATAAAAACTCAATTGAAAAATATAATAATTTTTAGTATTTAATAAACACAAAAATTAAATACAAGCTTAACTAAAAATATTCAAATTT